CCAAAATGGCCCCAAAATGGCCCAAAAGCGCTCAAAATGGCCCAAAACGGCCCCAAATGGCCCAAAACCGGCCCCAAACGGCCCCAAAACGGCCCCAAAACGGCCCCAAAACGGCCCCAAAATCGCCCAGGAAACCCCAAAGGGAGCCCAGAGCCAGTGGAAAACCCCAAATACAGCCCAAAAAAACCACAAATAGAGCCCCAAAACCAGATGGAAAACCCCAAATGCAGCCCAAAAATCCCAAATACAGCCCAAAAACCCCAAATACAGCCCAAAAATCCCAAATACAGCCCAAAAATCCCAAATAGAGCCCAAAAAACCAGATGGAAAACCCCAAATACAGCCCAAAATCCCAAATACAGCCCAAAAACCCCAAATACAGCCCAAAAACCAGCTGGAAATCCCCAAATGCAGCCCAAAAATCCCAAATAGAGCCCAAAAATCCCAAATACAGCCCCAAAACCAGCTGGGAAACCCCAAATACAGCCCAAAACCCCCAAATAGAGCCCAAAAACGCCAAATACAGACCAAAACCCGAAATACAGCCCAAAAACCAGATGGAAAACCCCAAATAGAGCCCAAAAACCCCAAATAGAGCCCAAAAACCCCAAATAGAGCCCAAAAATCCACCCAAAATAGAGCCCAAAAATCCCAAATGCAGCCCAAAAAACCCAAATACAGCCCAAAAAAACCACAAATAGAGCCCCAAAAATCCCAAATGCAGCCCCAAAACCAGCTGGGAAACCCCAAATGCAGCCCAAAAACCACAAATAGAGCCCCAAAAACCCCAAATACAGCCCCAAAACCAGCTGGGAAACCCCAAATACTGCCCAAAAACCCCAAATAGAGCCCAGAGCCACCTGGAAAACCCCAAATAGATCCCAAAACACCCCAAATACAGCCCAAAAGCGCCTGAAATTCACCCCAGTGCACACAAAACCACCCCAGAACACCCCGAAAAATCCCAAAACCCCCCAAAGCAAACCCCCCCGAATTGCCCCGACCCCCTCCCCAGAGCGAGCAACCACGGGATCAGCCTGGACGAGATCCCGGCCGAGCGGCGCCGCAAGCTCGAGAAGGCGCGGCCGGGCCAGCTGCTGAAATAGCCCCGCCCACCAGGTGAGCTGGCCACGCCCACCGCCGCAAACCCCGCCCCCTGACAGCCACGCCCAGCGGGGGAGCGGGGATGTAAGCCCCGCCCCCTGGTGAGCCCGGCCAATCAGGTGAGCATGAATATAAGCCCCGCCCCCAGTGAGCCCGGCCAATAGGTGAGCATGACTATAAGCCCCGCCCCCAGTGAGCCCGGCCAATCAGGTGAGCAGGGGAATAAACCCCGCCCCTAAAGGGCCACGCCCACCAGGTGAGCAGGGATATAAACCCCACCTCCAGTGAGCCTGGCCAATAGGTGAGCAGGGAGAGAAACCCCGCCCCCAGTGAGCCCGGCCAATCAGGTGAGAAGGGGAATAAACCCCGCCCCAGTGAGCCCGGCCAATCAGGTGAGCAAGGATATAAACCCCGCCCACACTGGGCCACACCCACCAGGCAAGCAGGAATATAAACCCCGCCCCCAGTGAGCCCGGCCAATCAGGTGAGCAGGGGAATAAACCCCGCCCCTAAAGGGCCACGCCCACCAGGTGAGCAGGACATAAGCCCCGCCCCCAGTGAGCCTGGCCAATAGGTGAGCAGGGAGAGAAACCCCGCCCCCAGTGAGCCCGGCCAATAGGTGAGCAGGGATATAAACCCCGCCCCCAGTGAGCCTGGCCAATCAGGTGAGCAGGGGAATAAACCCCGCCCCTAATGGGCCACGCCCACTAGGTGAGCATGAATATAAGCCCCGCCCCCAGTGAGCCCAGCCAATCAGGTGAGCAGGGATATAGCCCCGCCACCAGTGAGCCCGGCCAATCAGGTGAGCAAGGATATAAACCCCGCCCACACTGGGCCACACCCACCAGGCAAGCAGGAATATAAACCCCGCCCCCAGTGAGCCCGGCCAATCAGGTGAGCAGGGGAATAAACCCCGCCCCTAAAGGGCCACGCCCACCAGGTGAGCAGGACATAAGCCCCGCCCCCAGTGAGCCTGGCCAATAGGTGAGCAGGGAGAGAAACCCCGCCCCCAGTGAGCCCGGCCAATAGGTGAGCAGGGATATAAACCCCGCCCCCAGTGAGCCTGGCCAATCAGGTGAGCAGGGGAATAAACCCCGCCCCTAATGGGCCAACACCCACCAGGTGAACAGGACATAAGCCCCGCCCCCAGTGAGCCCGGCCAATCAGGTGAGCAGGGGAATAAACCCCGCCCCTACAGGGCCACACCCACCAGGTGAGCAGGGAGAGAAACCCCGCCCCCAGTGAGCCCGGCCAATCAGGTGAGCAAGGATATAAACCCCGCCCACACTGGGCCACACCCACCAGGTGAGAACGGTCATAAACCCCACCCCACAGGTGAGCAGGGACATAAACCCCGCCCACACTGGGCCACACCCACCAGGTGAACAGGACATAAGCCCCGCCCCCAGTGAGCCCGGCCAATCAGGTGAGCAGGGGAATAAACCCCACCCCCAATGAGCCACGCCCACCAGAACAGCGACATAAGCCCCGCCCCATTAAGACACGCCCACCAAGTGACCCCGGCCCAGATAAGAGACACACAGACCACGCCCCTCCCCTGGCCACGCCCACTTACTTTCATTCCACCTGTCCCCTCCCCAGCTCATTTGCATCTCATTATCCCCGCAGCTGCAGGCGGCCTCGCCCCGCCCCCGCGGGGCGGAGCCAACGCCGATTGGCCGCCGAGGAACCCCGCCCTGGTGACGTCACAGGAGGCGGAGCCTGGGCACCACAAGGGGATGTGGGGGCGTGGCTTGGACCAAAGGGGCGGGGCTTGGACCTGAGGGACAGGGCTTGGCTAGTGGGCGGGGCTTGACCCCAAAAGGGGCGTGGTTTGTATTTGTGGGCGGGGCTCTGCCCTAAAATGGGGGTGGCTTGATCCCAGGGCGGTGCCCCCAGCAGCCAATAGGATCCCGACTCTCACAAAGGGGCGGAGCCCTCAGGGGATGCTCGTCCAATCACAGCCCAGGGCGGCCATCTTGGACCCGTGGCGCCAGCCAATGGCGGCGCAGCTCCGCCCTCAAAGGGGCGGTGCTCGATTTTCCTGGTTTTCCCCCCAATCCCGAGGCCCCTCCCCCTTCCCCAGGCCCCGCCCCCTCTCCTGTAGCTCCTCCCACTCCCTCCGAATAAACTCAATCCCAAAGATTTTGGGAGGAAAAAATCGATTTTGGTTCAAACCGCGCCCGGCCGCCATCTTGGGAAGGGTGGGGTTGGGGCGGCCATTTTGTGGGTGGGGCCAAGGCGGCCATCTTGGGGGTGTGGCCATGGTTGCCATTTTGGGGGTGGCATTTTGGCAGCCATCTTGATGGGTGGGGCCATGGCAGCCATTTTCTGGGTGAGGCCATGTTTGGGGTGGAGTCATGGCAGCCATCTTGGGGTGGGACCATGGAAGGCATCTTGGGGGTGTGGCCATGGCTGCCATGTTGGGGTGGAGTCACGGTGGCCATTTTGTGGGTTTGGTCATGGCAGCCATCTTGAGAGCGTGGTCATGGCAGCCATGTTGGGGGTGGAGTCATAGCAGCCATCTTGGGGATGTGGCCATGGCAACCATTTCTGGGATGGCACCGTGGTGGCCATCTTGGGGGTGTGGCAATGCCTGCCATGGCAAGGGTGGAGTTGTAGCAGCCATCTTGGGGGTGTGGCCATGGCAACCATTTCTGGGGTGGCACCATGGTGGCCATCTTGGGGGTGTGGCAATGCCTGCCATGGCAAGGGTGGAGTTGTAGCAGCCATCTTGGGGGTGTGGCCATGGCAACCATTTCTGGGGTGGCACCATGGTGGCCATCTTGGGGGTGTGGCAATGCCTGCCATGGCAAGGGTGGAGTTGTAGCAGCCATCTTGGGGGTGTGGCCATGGCAACCATTTCTGGGGGCCCCGCCCCCTTCCCCAGGCCCCGCCCCCTCTCCTGTAGCTCCTCCCACTCCCTCCGAATAAACTCAATCCCAAAGATTTTGGGAGGAAAAAATCGATTTTGGTTCAAACCGCGCCCGGCCGCCATCTTGGGAAGGGTGGGGTTGGGGCGGCCATTTTGTGGGTGGGGCCAAGGCGGCCATCTTGGGGGTGTGGCCATGGCGGCCATCTTGAGTGTTACAGCAGCCATGTTGGGGTGGAGTCAAGGCAGCCATCTTGGGGGTGGAGTTTTGGCAGCCATCTTGGGGGTGTGGCAATGCCTGCCATGGCAAGGGTGGAGTTGTAGCAGCCATCTTGGGGATGTGGCCATGGCAACCATTTCTGGGATGGCACCGTGGTGGCCATCTTGGGGGTGTGGCAATGCCTGCCATGGCAAGGGTGGAGTTGTAGCAGCCATCTTGGGGGTGTGGCCATGGCAACCATTTCTGGGGTGGCACCATGGTGGCCATCTTGGGGGTGTGGCAATGCCTGCCATGTCATGAGTGGAGTCATGGCAGCCATCTTGGGGGTGTGGCCATGGCGGCCATCTTGGGGGCGTGGCCATGGCGGCCATTTTCAGGGCGGGACCAAACGAGACGTGCTCATGGCGGCCATTTTGGGCTGGCATCACGGCAGCCATGCCGTGGGCGTGGCCACGGCAGCCATATTGGGGGCGGGGTCACACCGTCCACTTCAGGCACCTGCGGGGGAGGGGAGGGAAATTTCGGGGGTCAGCAGGGCGAGACCCCTCCCCCACTGCCAGGTCACGTTCCCATGGGGATTTTCCCCATTTTTTTGCCAACTTTCCCCTTTTCCCCCAAATTTTTCCCCAATTTTCTCGACATTTTCCCCTTTTTCTCCTGTTTTTTCCCCATTCTCCCCAATTTTTTCCCACTTTTCCTGGTCTTTTTTCCTTTTTTCCTCGGGAGTTTTTCCCCATTTCCCCCAATTTTTTTCCCCATTTTTCCCAAGTTTTTACCTTTTTTTCCCTTTTTTTTTTCCTTTTCATTTTTCCCCCATTTTTGCAGAGATTTTTCCAGGAATTTTCCCATTTTTCTCTGGTTTTTCCCTAGTTTTCCCAGATTTTTCCCCCTCTTTTTCCCATCTTTTTGCTATTTCCCTCAAATTTTTCCTATTATTCCCATTTTCCTTTTTTTTTCCTTTTTTTTTTTTTTTTTTTTTTGCTATTTTTCTGATTTTCACAAGTTTTCCCTCTTTTTCCCCATTTTTCCTTGTTTTCTCTCATTTTCCCCATTTTTTTCCCATTTTCTTTTTCCGATTTTCCCAACTTTTTTCCCATGTTTTTTCCCCATTTTTTTGCCGTTTTTCCCTCTTTTTTTCCCCTTTTCCCCAAATTTTCCCCAGTTTTATTCCTATTTTTCCTAAATTTTTTCCTGGGTTTTTGGGTTTTTTTTTTTTGGTTTTTTTGTTTTCCCCATTTTCCCTGGGGTTTTTTCCTGTTTTTTTTCCCTGGTTTTTTTCACCCCTTTTCTCTGGTTTTCTCCATTTCTTTTTCACTGTTTTTCACCATTTTTTCACCGTTTTTCCCATTTTCACCGGGTTTGTTTCGGCTGTCCCGTACCTGGTGTCCTGGTGGGTGCCCAGGCAGCGCGTGCAGCAGTACCTGGCCCCGCAGGTGACGCAGGTGTAGCCCGAGGGGAAGCCGCAGACGGCGCAGAAGTGGCGCTGCGGCAGCCGCGACGGCGCCGCGCCGGCCGAGACGTAATTGGGGCCCTCGGCCGCGCTCAGGTTCTGGGGGCATTTCGGGGGATTTTGGGGTTAGGGCACTGAGCCGGAGTAAAATTCAGAAGCAAAAGCCAGAATTCAGCTCAAAAATCCAGAATTCTGCCCCAAAATCAGCTCCAAAATCCAGAATTCGGAGCGAAAATCCAGAATCCAGCCCAAAATCAAGTTTGAAATAAAAAATTCGGCCCCCAAATCCAGAATCCAGCCCCGAATCCAGCGAAAAATTCAAAATTCAGTCGAAAATAAAAAATTCAGCCACAAAACCCAGCCCAGAAATCCAGAATTCAGAACCAAAAGCAAGAATTCAGCCCAAAATCCAGCCCCAAATCCAGGTTAAAGGAAAAACTTCAGCCCAAAAATCCAGAATTCAGCCCGAAAATACAGCCCCAGATCCGGGTTAACATAAAAAATTCAGCCCCAAAATCCAGCAAAAAAACCCCAGAATTCAGCCCCAAAATCCAGAATTCAGCTCTAAATCCAGAATTAAGCCCCAAATCCAGAGCAAAATCCAGAATTCAGCCCCAAAATCTGTCACAGAAATCCAGAATCCAGCCCCAAAATGCAGATTTCAGCCCCCAAATCCAGCTTAAAATGCAAAATTCTGTCCCAAATCCAGCCCCAAAATGCAAAATTCAGTCCTAAATGCAGAATTCAGCCCCAAAATAAAAAAAAAATCAGCCCCAAATCCAGCACAAAATCCAGAATTCAGCTTCAAATCCAGTGCAAAATACAAAATTCATTCCCAAATCCCTCACAAAAATCGAAAATTCAGTCCCAAATCCAAATCCCCTCAAACTTCCCCCATTTTTACCCAAATCCCCTCAAATTCCCCCCAAATTGCCCCAAAATCTTCCAAATTCTCCCTAACTCCCCCCAATTTATCCAAATTTCTCACAAAATCCCTCAAATTTCCCCAAGTTTTTCACCAAATTCTCCCTAATTCCCTTTAAATTCCCAAAAATTCCCCCGAAATTCTTCCAAATTCTCCCAAGTCACCCCAAATTTCCCCAAAATTCCCCCAAATTTCCCAGTCCCACCTGCTCCTCCAGCAGGGCCTGGAAGTTCTTGCGGAAGCGCAGCTTGAAGTGATCGCCCCGGGTTTTCTTCTTCTTCTTCCCTGGGGACCCCAAAAGTTCAGCCCCAAATCCATCCCAAAATTCAGAATTCAGCCCCAAATTCAGCCCAAAATCAAGCAAAAGTTCAGCCCCAAATCCACCCCAAAATCCAAAAGTTCAGCCCCAAATCCACCCCAAAATCCAAAAGTTCAGCCCCAAAATCAAGCCCCAAAATCCAAATTTCAGCTCCAAATCCACCCCCAAATTCAACCCAAATTCAGCTTAAAATGCAAAATTTCAGCTCCAAATTCAGCCTCAAATCCAGCCCCAAAATCCAAAATTCAGCCCCAAATCCACCCCCAAAATCCAGCCCCAAAATCCAAAATTCAGCCTCAAAATCCAGCTCCAAAATCCAAAATCCAACCCCAAAATCCAAAATTCAGCCCAAAATTCAGCTTAAAATGCAAAATTTCAGCTCAAAATGCAGCCTCAAATCCAACCCCAAAATCCACAATTCAGCCCCAAATTTGGCTCAAAATGCAAAATTTCAGCTCCAAATCCAACCCCAAAATCCATCCCAAAATTCAGAATTCAGCCCCAAATCAAGCCCCAAATCCACCCAAAAATCCAAAATTCAACCCCAAAATCAGTCCCAAATCCCACCCCCAAATCCAGCCCAAAATCCAGAATTCAGCCCCAAATTCAGCTGGAAATGCAAAATTCAGCTCCAAATCCACCCCAAAATCTAAAATCCACCTCAACCCCACGTTCAGCCCAAAATCCAGCCCAAAATCCAGAATTCAGTCCCAAATCCAGCCCAAAATCCAGAATTCAGCCCCAAATCCAGTTCCAAATGGAAAATCAGCCCAAAATCAACCCAAAACTCAGCTAAAAATGCAAAATTCAGCCCCAAATCCAGCCCAAAATCCAGATTTCAGCCCCAAATCCAGTTCCAAATGGAAAATCAGTCCAAAATCAACCCAAAATTCAGCTAAAAATGCAAAATTCAGCCCCAAATCCAGCCCAAAATCCAGATTTCAGCCCCAAATCCAGTTCCAAATGGAAAATCAGTCCAAAATCAACCCAAAATTCAGCTAAAAATGCAAAATTCAGCCCCAAATCCAGCCCAAAATCCAGAATTCAGCCCCAAATCCAGTTCCAAATGGAAAATCAACCCAAAATCCAGAACTCAGCCCCAAATTCAGCTGAAAATGCAAAATCCAGCCCCAAATTCCCCCCAAACCCCAATGCCGGTTCTGCTCCCGGTCTCAAGTTGG